TTCGAAAACCAAACCCGTCACGTAGTAAAAATAAGGTAAACAAAACATCTGACCGTAGTAGCGAACCAATTCGAACTGACCCTGCTTATTTACCTCCCTTTGAATTAGCATTAGACGAGAACGCGTCTCGGGCGGTCCCGGCATTTTTACGAGGTGCGCATGAACGGCTCTGAGGCGTTGCTGGCAGTGAATGTGTTAATAGTAATTTAAAAGTACGATTTACTCGATTAAAGTAAATGATGCTTTACATAACCAAGTAAAATCTTTTGAATTTTTTGTATCATTCTTTGATCAACAAATAAACGGGAGTCAAGTTTTCGGCACATTTTCCTACTATTTCAAAATTCGTCACAAGCATACTCTCTGTTCATGCAATTTTTGCAAAATAAACATGTATGACAGTTTCACAGTCCACATGACTATTGTATGCAATCACATGCAGTTGCAAGACGGTCGAATTTCCTCAATTCCAACGCGCAAAATTAGCTAATATAAACGAATGAAATATCCCTTGTCGCATGCCTAACCTATAATTTTGGTTCTGGTTCAGCTTTTATTGCTTTTAGCTCCACTCAGCTTAACAACCATATTCAAGGACTATCGCCGACCATTCAACATCAGAGCATAATCAAACGCGTATATGTAAACAATTAAACATAACTATAACCTAAACACATTTGCATGTAAGTTAATGAATATTGCACCAAAGTTGCAAACAATCTAGCACGAAAAATTTAACTGATTGATTTTCATGCACGATCTGGCAGTAGCATGAAAGTGACACAAATAATCAGCTGTTTTGTTAGTGCGCCCGACCAAAATTTCTATTGCACTTTGCATTATGGACTCAACTACCAAAACTGTAATCTAGACGGTTTGACAACTAGTCGGTTGACATTTCATAGCGGAACGTTGCCAAGTTTAACAAGCTTAAGATTTAGAGAAGATATTTATTCATGCTAATGTTAGTTAACAGCTTCTGCTGTACCTTTTGCTTTACCTTCTCTCTACTCTACAGAAAGTGCTATGACATCAAATTTATGTTGATAAAGTAAATGAAGCTTAACAGTCCGAGGTAGAAACGTTTTCTTAACATCTTTTTTGTATTTCCCGAATCAACAAGAAAATGGGAGTAATGTTTCGGACTCCTTCCTGTATTGTTCCGAAATTCATCACAAGGATACTCTGTCCATGCAAGGGAAAGAAAATATACACAACCTGCTTGATCCCAAAAACGTTCCGTTATAATCCCAAAGCAAAACTTCAATAAAAAATATCTAGAGAAAACGTCACAGCGGAGACAAAAAGTAAATAGTATTTTATTCAGGAGTTGTTTTTCTTTGGGAATCTCCGGAGAGCAGCCAGAGAGCATCACTCGCTCCAGAGAAATTGAAAATATTTTAATGTTACGTTCAATTTCTCTCGCAATATTACTTACTTCCACACGAAGACGCACTGCTGCGAGCGAATCTAGCAAAATAAACAGCTAGGGTTTTATCTAGAATGCCTGTAGATATTCTAGAGTAGATTATTTATGGGACAGGTTGTTTTTAATTGGACTATACAAGAAATGAGTCTCTTGTTATGCATTACCCCAAGAATTAACGTCGTCCGCCTCTCCCTCGTGATTTTCTTGTGAACTAAGCATTACGGTAAATTACAATTGTTGATCTTGGGGATTTAACATTTGCATTTCACAGCAGACTAACTGTTGACAGGTTTCAATATTTTTAAAATCTTGAAGATTCTCAGTGTTTACAAACCCAAAATTGTCAGAACCTTCAAAAATTTTGCAATTCTCGGAAATTTTGAAACATTTGTTAATTTTGAAAATTTTGAAAATTTGACAAATTTGACAAATTTGGAAAATTTGGAAAATCTTGAAAATCTTGAAAATCTTGACAATCTTGAAAATCTTGAAAATCTTGAAAATCTTGAAAATGTTGAAAATCTTGAAAATCTTGAAAATCATGAAAATTTTGAAAATTTGGTGAATTTGGTAAATTTGGGAAATTTGGAGAATTTGGAGAATTTGGAGAAAATTTGAAAAATTTTGAAAATTTTGAAAACTAGGAAAATTTGGAAAATATGGAGAATTTGGAAAATTTGGGAAATTTGGGAAATTTGGAGAATTTGGAAAATTTAAAAAAACTTGATAATCTTGAAAATTTGGAAAATTAGGAAAATTTGTAAAATTTGGAAAATTTGGAATATTCGGAAAATTTGGAAAATTTGGAAAACTTGGAAAATTTGGAAAATTTTGGAAAATTTGGAAAATATGGAAAATATGGAAAATTGGCAAAATTTGAAAAATTTGGAAAATTTAGAAAAATTTGAAAATATTTAAAATTTTGACAATTTCCTTAATTCTGTAAATTGAAAAATTCACTTAATTTTGACAACAAAAAAAGCTTCAAAATTTTGAGGAATTTAAACAATTTTCAATACTTTGGTAGTTTTAAAATTCACTAAAATGTGAAAAATCATTTGGAAAGCCTATGGTAACCGTTTCAGCCTACTGTGAAATGCAATTGAATCCTCCCGCGTTATATTGCGTCATTGTTTGTTTAAAATCCAAGGACATCGTTCTTCAGACGTCACTTGATCCTCAAGGCAGGTCTGTAAAAAATGTTTAATGTTGCTAGATCTTGTTATAACAGTTTTCTATAACATCACTGATCAATCAAATAGCTTATATTCGTATTTCTATTGTGAGGATGTTAACAGTGAATATACACCAACAAAGGATACAGTTGTGTCAACAGTCCTAATACTAAGGCCCGGTTTTTCAATTGCAGGTTAAATATTATTTTACAGCTAACCAGAAGTAAACTGTGACTTTCAAGCTCAGGTTTGTCCTAAAACAGTAGGTAAGTTTAACCAGATGACATCCACTAATTAACTAGTAAGTTGTAGTTACAGCGCAGCTCCTAACCTCCTTTTTGCTTGACAGTGACATAAGTTGTGGCGGATGACCAGAAAGACGAACGTCGAGCTCATATTAAAGACCTTAAAGTGCGTAAAGCACCTGGGGAGGATCAAATCACTAATAAGGCGCTGAAGCTGCTTTCGCGGAAGTCCTTAACTTATCTCGTGGCAATAGCCAATGCCATGCTAAGGATCCAGTACTTCCCATCCGCGTGGAAGACCGCTGAAGTTATAATGATTCCAAAGAAGGTGGGTTCGATATTTCCCCAGGATTATCGTCCCATTAGCCTACTGTCAGCTCGGTCTAAGCTCGCTGAAAAGGTGATTCTACGTCACCTTGAGAATTTCTCGTCAGATCACCATGTGATTCCTGACGTGCAATTCGGTTTTCGGTCTGAACATAGTACGGAGCTACAGGCGGTTAGGCTGGTGGAACGTATAACCAGAGGATTCACCCTTAACGAAAGTACTGGCATCTTGCTTTTGGATGTCTCAAAAGCATTTGACAAGGTGTGGTACGCGGGCCTCTTGTATAAAATAATCCAAAAGGGCTTCCCTTTTTGGCTTCTAAAACTACTGAAATCCTTCCTTGAAGGTAGGAAATTTCGGATCAAAATTGGCAATGTCCTGTCGACAACACGGCTGAATACAGCTGGCGTCCCTCAGGGTTCGGTCCTTGGACCTATCCTTTACTCACTGTACATCCATGACGTCCCCAGCAACTGTGAAGTCTATCTCTATGCTGACGATACTGCATTGGTGGCTCAGTCGTGGTCTGGTGACCTAGTCCATGACAGGCTGCAAAGTGCGGTGGAGGAAGTATTAGATTGGGCGGATCGGTGGCTAATTAAAATAAACCATTCGAAAACGCAGGCAATCTACTGTACAAAAAGACGTCGCGGCGTTCCGTCTGGAGTTTCAATGAATGGACTTCGTATACCACGGGAATCCTCCGCTAAGACTCTCGATGTCATTCTGGACACAGGGATGACTTGGCGGAAGCATATAGATGCGCTAAGAACTAAATTCCAAATTACGTTTCGATAGCTTTACCCATTATTATGTAAACGTTCAAAATTAAGCTTGATTAACAAGAAGAAGAAGACTCTATAATGTGGTCATAAGACCAGGAATGACTTACGCATGTGCAGCTTGGTGTTTTATTGCTAAAACACACATGCGAAATCTGCAGGTTCTGCAAAGCAGGACATTGCGCACGATTGCTGATGCCCCATGGTATGTATCTAACGAAACTCTACACAGAGACCTCGATGTCCCTTACCTAAAGGACTACATTAAGCAACAGGCGCAGCGGCGCTATAGCCTAGCGGAATCGCACAGCAACACTCTGTTGCGTGAGTCAGTGGACCACACAGTCGAGCAAGATCGCAAGCACAAAAGGCCGCGGCTCGCTGTAATCAAAATTAACTCGTGAACTAAAGATGCGATTCCACCAGTGTGCTGAACTGTGCGGCACTCTAATGCACAGTGTACAGCACAAATGTTTCTTCTGGTCGACTCACTCACGCAAACAATAGCAAATTGTGCGCAAACATTTCGGAAACGTTCGCGAACATCAGTTACTTTTGTGCGCTCACAAATGCAAGCAGTGGACTCGCGTCTTCGAGTACATACTTGTTGTTCGCGAACTCAGTATTGCTTCCGCTCCTGGACTGAAAACATTTGTTTGTACGCGCACTTCTTTTACGAAATTTAAAATGGACTGGACGAATGATAGAATTATAAAATTTATTCAAGCAATTGAAACTTATCCTCTTCTATGGGATTCCAGTCAGCATGATTATAAAAACACGACGCCACTCAAGAGTTGGCTCAAAGTTTCAATTGTGACTCGACTGAGGTAATGAGAAAATGGAAAATTATTTTGGCTCAGTACCGAAGAGAAAAGAAGAAAATAGCGGATTCAAAATCTTCAGGTTCGGGGTTTTCAGATATATTATTTGTAATTTTTTTTTTTTTTTTTTTTTTTTTTTATTTAACAGATAGTACCGCATCAACCTCGTAGGGTTATTAGCGGCGTGGACGGCACAATAATCTATGTATTGAAGTACATGTCAATGTCTTTGATAAATTTCACAAGTTTATCGGTTTGATGCAGTAACACTTCACTGATGTCATTAGAAAGGTGGTTGAGACTTCTGGCATTTTGATAAGTCAGGATGTGAACCACCGTGAGCCGCTGGTTGCACGTTGAACAAACTGGGGCATCGGTTCCTTCGAAGATGTGCTTGTGAGTCACTAGTGTGTGGCCTATCCGGAGACGTGACATAATTATCTGGTTCCTTCTTCCTGAAGGTAGGGTGAATCGCGTGTTGACATCTGGAGCAATTGCGAGTAGTTTGCTGTGCATAATCGTTTTTAATGTGTTTAAGGTGGGTTTCCTGGAGACATAAAACTGAAGGATTTTGGTCTTTTATTAGTAAATTAAGTACTTCTTTATGAGTAAAATAGCCGTTGAGATTCCACTGAACTAGGAACATTGAGCTCGTTTGCTTAAAATGGAAATGCTGGCTAGTATGTTTGGACAGAGGAGTGTGAGGCATCGCTGTCCTCGGATGATTCGCTGTCTAATTTCTTTGATACTTTTTTCTTGATTTTTGTGATCCGTATCTTAGTTTTGCGATCTTTTATATGGTCATAGAGCTCTGTTAAGAATGTGATTGTTCCAGAAATGTCGCTGGTGTAATTTTTCAAAGTGGCGAGTATATGTTTCGAATTGTAGGCATTTGCTATCATGTCTAAAATTTCTGTTTTGTTCATTCTGATTTGGTCATGCTTGGATTTTATGAAGTCGGCCGCTACCTCTAAGGGGTCTTCTGAGGCATCTATTGTTTTTACTTTTTTGGTAGGTGCTAAAATTGGTTCATGATGGGGTTGGATATCAGGAGAAAGCGATAATTGTCTTTTTGGCTGGTTAAACAGTGCGTCGGCTCGTTTATCTTCTTCAATTTGTTCTGGAGTGCATTGTGAAGCATGTGGTTGAGTTATTGTTTGTTGGGAGTGAGTTTCCGATATATGTGTATTAATTAATTCCATGGGGGTACTCCTTTCGGAAGTAGTGTTAGCTTGGCTGTCATTTACATTATGCGACATGATTGTTTCAGATGTCTCAGTTTGTCGGTTAGGGCATCGAACAAAGTTGTGCCCTGCTTGTTTACAGTGCGCGCAGGTACCGCTGTCAGATGATATAAAGATGCGATATGTTGTATCATTGTAGGTGAGGGTTGTCGAGTCTGGAATTGCATTTTCATTGGGAGTGATGAAAATCTGACGACGGAAGCTCAGTACATGGCTGTATTCGCGGTCGGACTCAGGCATGCCTACTCTTAGGTGTGTCATGCGCGAGATTATCTTTATTCCCAGATTCTTTAGCGAGTCCTCAATAGTGTTATTAGGAATTGACGGGCAGACGTTAGAAATCACTAGTCTCTGAGATGGAGTTACTAATCTTCTGATTTCAATCTCATGCTCTTGGATTCTGATAATCTTGTGGTTTGAGATGATTGAGTCTACTGTCGCAGTGCTATTTAGATATATGCATATTCGGTTATTTGAAATTCTTGATGCGTATAGTATGCTTTTTGGACCTACAATTGAACCAATAGTGACAATGTAGTCTCGGATCTTGATACCATCGATAGATGTTAACAGTATTGCTTGTTCTTTGGACGGAGTTTGTATTGTTGGTTGTTGCAAGAGTGCACTGGAGTAAGTGGGTTGGCTGATTAGGGTGTTGTTAGAATCTGCGTGAATCATTGTGAGTCTGCGAGGTTTTCTTCTTTGTAGATAGACTAGTCCGGTCCTGTTGATACCACCTTGGTGCGTAGCATGCGAGCATGCCTAGCAGCGCAGCAGGGCGACAACTCCGTGCCGAGTTTACCGGCGCGGCGTTTGTTTACGTTGGGATCGGCAATTCAATATATTGTATTATGTACGTTAGGTCACTTACAGGATCAGCGATTCCAAATGGTGGGATAATCCCGTTGTTAATACTTGGCGTAGATGCACTTTCACTTATTAGTTTCCACTAGTTACTTGGAAAATGAAAAAGATTTTCACAGCGTACTACAAACCAGACTATCAGTTTGGCGGACAGGGCCGTCTTCGTTATTTTCTTTTGTTTCAAGATGTAATGTTACTTTCTTTTGCAGTCGTGCTAACACAAATTTGATTTTGAAATCACCTGGAAGGGTTATGTGTTTGAATTATAATAGTATTTGTAAGTTTTGTGACATATTTTTATGTTCTATTTCGGAGTTAAAATGTGTTCTGCGGGAGCGCCTTAGATAGTTTTATAAGTTAGGCTTTTGTAATATTTCTAATTTAAGATTTTGGCCTATAAATGGAATATTATCTGTTGGGCAATAAAAGCTATAAATAAGCCTTATTGAAACAGGGACACATTTTCTGTAGTTGGTGTCTTGCTTTGCAATATGAGGACTACTTTTAATTCTTCTACAAATCTATTCGTTTCTTCATTCCATCGCTGCAGAAAAGGTCTCACCCAACATCGTGGTTTTCTTCTTCGTTTCTTTTTAAGCAGACTACCTATTGAAACACAAGCTGCGGCACAAAACACTACATATTCCCGCCCATCCATATTAAGAACTGAAGTTAGTGAGAACTTTGCTTGGTAAACATGTTCGTGCACAAGTGTGCTACACTGTACGCTTACAAAAGTTATGCACTGCTTTGCCGGTGGACACAGAAGATAAATTCGATAGCAGTGAGCACATTCAATGCTGGAGTTTCACACAAAATGTTTGTAAACAAATGTGCTGAACACTATTTTGGTGGAATCGTACCATTAGAACAACCAAAATTTGAGCATTTTGACAAAATCTTTAGAAAAAAATCCAATATTTTTAGACCATATCAAAATCTGAGAAGTGATTTTAACAATGCCTAAACGCTGCCTATCCTAAAAGATTCTCTTCTTCCCCTTTGCTCTCGTTCTTCCTTCTCTCCTTTCCTTCCCTTTTTTCCTTAAAATTGTCTGGTTTCTGGGTTACCAGACCTGACAGACTTACAAACTGACACTGTAACTCAAGAGCTAAGGTCTCACGGACAGCTCTGACAACATACGATGACTTCACTTGACGAAGATCGAGCGCCACAAAACGCGATGTTTCAGCTGTAGAGGCAGCCTTGCCAGATCAACCGTAACGTGTTAGTTAACCAGAGATTGAAAAACAAATTTACGGACAAATAATAGTTAACTTACAAGTTATAGTTACCAAGCTTGAAAGTTAACCAGCGATTGAAAAACCGGACCTTAGAGTGTGTAGCATTCGATAGTTTTTTCTAGGACTCCTGGATCTTGCAATATAACTTACGGGCTCTTCTATGTATACGATTCCTCTTAGCATCTACTGTCTGCTAATTTCTGGATCAACTTACCTGCAAAAAATAATATGCTTTAGAAAACGTGGTAGTATTTCTGATAGAAAATAGTTAAATAAATAACATTAAAAGTTTAAAAATTATTATTTTTGGATGTACCTGCTACTCTTTGAATATTTCCAACGTTTTCTGAATATCCCTGTACAGAAAAATCATTTTTTTTTTCTATCAATGAAGGACTATATCAAAGTTGGCTTAGTTGACCATAGTTAAACATAGAGTATTTAGAAGAACTGATCATGTATTTAAAATATATCCCGTAGATATTCCTCATCATTGTAAATAATACCAAGCATCACCAGAATATTTATACGGAAACATCCTGTATGTACACCAACGACTTATCGGTCGATTTGCGTATGAAACAATGTACCATATTCATACTAATGACATATATTTTCTACCGACACATTCATTTTTCAATATTTTAACACGAAGTGCCTGACAGGTATAAATAATTGATTAACATATCCGGAAAACGTCCCCTAAAGTAAACAAAACAAAATTGAGGTGCAACTGATATCAAAAGGAATAAAATTAATTCGTTCCAAACGGGAACAAAAACATTGAACGAGTGTTTATAACAGATACAAGTCCGGTGGATTTACATATGTCAGGATAAATTTGAAGCCAATGTTCATCCAAGATTTATGCTTGGACTGTTTCAAAATGGACAAAGAGATGATGACAAAAATACAATAATACTCGCATGCAGAGTGATCTTTAGAAGACTAGTTATTACTCGTAAGAGAGGCACATTCAAATCGTGTGGCTTATCGTCCCGAAAACGCCAAAGTCCTCCCAGAAACCCACAAGTTCTGTTGTAAGACCGGTTAATTTTTATGCAATCTTCGAATAAAATCCTACAAGTGTATTGTTTATGGATATAAAATTCGAGAAACTAATTCGACATTTAAAGGGAGTCTTCATGTTTTCCTTGGATGTAATGAGACACAACAGTTAGGCTTTGAGATGGCGAAGTAACAAACCGTAAAAAAACTGGATAAAAAACTTCCGATTCAATTGTAATTAATCTCATAGCAGTTAACTTTATTTTAGCACCAAAATATGGACTTGTCCCCTTTCCAATACTCCCGGTTTTATTTAAATCTCTTGTTCTTTCATACTTCCTCTTTGATAAGAGATATGTCTTGGGGTGAGGTTGAATGCAAAACAAAATGCAAATATCTAAAGACCAACATTCGAAATCGAATGTGGAAAGAAGGACTGGTGCAACCGGAAATGGAAGAAATTATGACATGCCTGCAAGTAGGCAGACGTAGAAGGGAAATGCGTTTTTATATTATATTTTTTATGTTTATAACATAACAGCTTATGGGTGGTGGAGATCCCCTCTTTTCAAATGGCCGAATGATTCCAATATCACACTTCTATTTTGATAGTGAGACCGTATATGCTGAGGCTCAATAAGGAAGTGTAACAAGAAACACGAGGTCAAAAAGATATTCTCCAGCATTGAGCTCCAAAAACTCTATTTTTATCTTAAATTTTTCTGAGGCAATATATTAAGAAAGTTATGGGGCTCGTGAGTTCCACTTTTATGATTATTATTTTTTTCGAACTATTACATGGTCAACATAACGTAAACAGATATTTAAACCTTCAATGGCCATTAATGTTCTTTAGATTTTGAGGTGTTGGACTCAGTGATGGGCGTTTACGCGTATACATTAAATGTCTACGTCTCGATGTATACAATGCGTATACAATGAGTACAATGTATACATTGCGTATGCAATGAATGCAATGTATACAATGATGAAGACAATGTATAGAATAGCATAAGTGAGGTTAGGCTTATTCGCAAACGTCAGAAAGTTGGTAAACAGTGAACCGACAACTTAAAAGAAATATGGCAGGACGCTCCAAGAACAAAGAAATCGATGAACTAGGGTTGATTTGTTTTTCTTAATTTATTTAAAACTG